AGAAAATAAGATGATTTCCAGACGCGAAAACTAAGTTTTCTCCTTTCGAAAATGAAGTGAAACCTTATCGACTATAAATCTTTATGATTACGGAAGTTTCTCGGACAAAAACCCCCAGTCTGTGATTTATCCCTTGTCACAAGTTAGGTGAAAGCTAAGTAGTTGTGATTTCAACAAGCAGAAGTCAATTCTGAACAAAGACACGCTTGTTAAAAGGTAAATATTTCATTGCAAAACGTCTGTTTAGCGGTTCCGTGTCAACACTGTCGATTGATGCGTATCTCAACATTAATTTCAGATTATTTTTGTTATCTTTTCTTGTTTCACCTCGCAAGTTCCTGTCGCTAGACCATAGTGACTAAAAAGTGGGGATGCTCATTGCCACTGAACATGAATGCCTTCTTTTTTTGAAGNACGTACAAGCCTTTAATTCACACACGGCAAATATAAAATGTTTCCTGTTTCTTCAAAACAAAATATTTGGATAACGTTAGTTACATCGGTAAAACTTTAATTGTACCATCAAACGATCGTGCAATAAGAGAATTGAACGGTGGTTGTTCGATTTTGTTGCGCTTGTTCACGTACGTCACAAGGATTTTAAAAATCTTCGCCAAAAAGTTCGCCAAATCACAAACATTGAGGTGCTCTTTCTAGGCGTATCAAAGATTTTTCCATATAAAAGCTTAGAATACAAAACTTAGAAAGACGTTAACAGAGAGACTTTTTAAGTTTCATATTACTGCAAGTTTTGAAAGAATTTTGTAGCTTGAGCGTTGTCTTGAGAAGCGCAATAGCTGATTTTGATTTTTTTTTTTGCCATCTTACAAATCTAAGAACGCTTCACTGAATGTAGTCGCGAGAGACCAGTAGGTGAGGGGCCTGGGACGTCTGACTCTTGTGGTTTCACTGGGAAACAATTTGTGCCGCAGAACGTGAGAGATTTGAATAGAAAGAGATATTTACCAGATGACTTGGAGACAAGGAAGTGGTCCATTTAGGTAAATGGTGAACGTGATATAAACCAAACTTTATATATAAGCATGCCGTGAAACGCTGATATAAGTAAACGCAATTTGCAATGTATAACGAACATGACAAATCACGCAAAATAACCACGTTGGAGATATAACGAACGCCACGATTCAAGTAACGAACATCGTTATTAATTAAACGCTTTGATTCAGTGCAAGAATCGTTATCATAGAAGGCTTAGAACAACAAACAATCGACTTCACTCAAGCCGTAGATCAAAACATAATTCGTGAAACTTGGCCTAAAACGCAAAAGTATGAGTTTAAAGTAATGATTTAAAGTAGCTTTAAGAAACGAAATTTCATTTTAGATTTCTATTGCTTAGCAGAATTGCCCGTTGGTTTTCATGGTACATGTACGTGGTTTAAGAACAAACCTTGATATAAACAGAACCTCGCGGTAACATAAACAGACCTTGTGGAAGCAGTGTTTCCCTTGGTGTAAATTAACTGCAAGAACGAAACACGTTTATCAAAAACTCCGCTCGCTTTAATTATCACAAATACAAATATTTACCCTGATGGGCTCCTGCCCTGGGGGAATTATTTACCGCTCGTAAAATACGGTAAAATCCTCTCCAAAAGAGCAATTTAATGTTGTTTTTGATACGTTTCGAAAACATG